CTTTGAGTTTGAAGTATTTTTAATAAGATGTTATCTTTCTTATCTTATTAATATACCTTTAGGCTAAAAAATGAAGAAACTAAAATATGGAATTATGTGATTTCCGCCCCCCCCCCCCCCACAGACCTATTTTAGATAGAAACGGATAATAGGTAGATGGATACCAATTATATGCTTACATCACTATGAACAACTTATAGAGATATTTTACACTCTGATTCTGGTATTTTTCATGCATTCATGCTGCCCTGTGCTAAGCATGCTGCGCTAAGCAGGAATTCAGGGGAGAGTAAAAGCAGACATGTTCTATGTTCTCATAGTTCTTAGAATTCAGGTACTAATTTAAAACTGACACAGATAAAAATAAAAGGCTTTGTTCTCCTGTAAACTAATTTGTGATCTTAGAAACTAAATTACCTTCCTGAGTTCTCATTTTCTTCTCTAAATAATCAAAATAATAATATCTATTTCATTTCTTTTATATTAAAAGCCATAACAGAAGCAGTGAGAAAAACAGAGAAATATGAGAACCATTTTATCAGAGATAGAGCTAAAACTAAATTTTGTGGCAAAGGATCAGGAAAAAAAAGGAGCTAAAGAAGATTGAGATATTGAGTTGAGATAATGGAAAAAATATATAATAGGGGAATTCTTAAAAACAAATTTTGGGGATGAATGGGCAGCAAGATAACCTCAGAAAAGTCTTTTGAGATCTCTCAAAGTGTAATCAGGTCATTGATAAATAACAGAAATTTGCAAATATGGATCAAGAAACTGGACAAAAGAATGGATGTTAGAGTCATTCTTCCAGAAGTGATAGTTAAGCCCCATTATGGGGTCCCCAAGAAAGAGTACAAACTGAAAAATACTGAGGTCCAAAGACAAACCTTGGCCTTAAATGAAAATGAAATACTACTACTTTCTTAAAACTGGTGGGAATAGATGATGAATCACTACCTTGTGCCTGGGTAACCACCTAGGCTGAGGTGGGAGAGGAGGAGGTTCTGGATGACAGTGAAGCTGGGAATGCAGACACAGCTGCCTTATGGAGCATTTTAGCAGAAAAGTAGGAACAAGTAAAATAATTATTGGCCCAGGTAAAGTTGAAAATAGCAACTTGCCAGCCAGGAAACTGAAAATGATCTATCATTTTATTCTACAACACTTGGAAATGAAGGGAATTAGAAGTTTACCTGGGAGGGGTGTTAGATCAGCAGGAAGGGCTGAAAAGGTATTAAATAGCATCACTGTGGAGAAAGTTATTGGAAATAATGTCATAGAACAATGATAAATGGAGAGCCTTTGAGGGATCATGCAGGATTGAAGTTATGATGTCAATTAAGGTAGAAGATTAAGGGGACAGAGTATTTCAGAATTTTAAGAGGAACATAGCTAATATAGCTGACTTTGATTGTAAGGAAATATAATTAAATCAAAGATCTAATTCACAAAATGTGGAAAAGTATGAGAGAGAATCTACATATATGAAAGCCAAGCTACCAGAATGATGGATCTACTGGAATGACCAGAACGACTGGTCACTATGACATGAACTGCGGCGGCCTCTCCCCCTGGCTGGCCTGGCTCCCGATCAGCCCCCTGCCTCCAATAAGGGGCGTGGCCAGCCAGCCAACCACCTGTGGCCCCCCTGACCATCCCTGTCCCCAATTGGCCCCCCCATTGGGGGCGGGGCCAGCCAACCTCCTGTGGCCCCAAGGGTGGCTGACCTCCTGCATCCCCTCCCCCCACCAGCTCAACCCAATCAGCCCCCATCGGGGCAGGCTGGCTGAACCCCACTTGTGCATGAATTCATGCACCAGGCCTCTAGCGCAATATAAAATAATGGTCAGAGAGTCACATGTCCAGATATATTAAAAGGGGAACAGTTCTAAATAGCAAATTTATTCTATTTGAATATAAAACATTGAGGCTGAAATTAAACCCATGACTTCTACTTTGTTAGCTTCAGTATCTAATAAATAAAATGAATATCATTATACTTTGATGAGTCTCACCCTCAGTTTTATCTTGAATCCTATTTCTCTGGGTTCAAATTCTATTTGATATATTTATGAGTCAGTATTTGGAGAAAGCTTAAATAGAAGATGGGTTCTGAATTTAAGTCTAAAATCTTAAATGGAAGCATATTTTATTTTATGTAGAACATGGGGTCTCTACACAAGTAAAGGTTTCACTACCCTCCTTTTCTCTTAGAAGTTTGGAGGGGTGTAAAACTTTTTGTTAACTGCTCATGTTGTTATATGTTTTAAAAGGTACATACTGTTCTTCAATCAATAGTTCAGAGTTTGAATGAAAAAGTAAATATAAAAATGTTCTGTGATATTAGTATATAAAGAGGTTCTATTAAATTATAGTTAACAAGAGTCATTTGTAGCGAGACAGGATATTTAATCTCATTAGCAAATATCATCATTTGGCTACATATGGAATACCTTCATAAGTGGTTTACATCTTGTATGTGAGAGACCTGTGAGTCAATGTTTAAACTATCCTGATTATTAGAGATAAATTAATCTAAAACAAACAACCAAATATGTGCAAAACATTTGCCTAAGTGCTTTTTGCCTGTTGGGGAAAAGGGACATTATAGAAAGCTATTAGATGCTGCCATCTGCCATTCTTTTTTTTTCGAAAAAATATTTTTATTGATTTCAGAGAGGAAGGGAGAGGGAGAAAAACATCAATGATGAGAGAGAATCACTGATTGGCTGCCTCCCACACAATCCCCCCTCCCCCCCTACTGGGGATCGAGCCCTCAACCTGGGCGTGTGCCCTGACTAGGAATCGAACTGTGATCTCCTGGTTCATAATTCCATGCTCAACCACTGACCCACACTGACTGGGCCAAAATATACATTTTTGAATAAGTGCAACCCTCTGCAAATTTTGAAAATGTTCATTAACTTAGCAAATGTAAGCTCATTTAAACTAGATTCTTAAAAATCTTTAGACTTCATATAGGTTTATGTTTATAAGAGCCAGAAAATTGGAATAATGTTTTAAAATAATAAAACTCAGATGCCAGCATTGAAAAAATATAGTGTGGTATTGACAATATAAACACATAGAAAATTAAAGAAGTAAAGGTTTTAGACCTGAAGGAAAAAACCAACAACACTAATGATGTTTATAGGACTGCTTGACTTTCCCTCTCACATTTTATTTGCTTTTTCTATGTCCATATTACTTTCACTCTTGATCAAAGCCTCTTAGTATACTTTGGAGTTTTAGAGAAAGTATGTTTGCTGGTTTCATAAGAGCTGGCCCCAACATCCTTTAGGTTACCAACCTCTAGGTCAGTGGTTCTCAACCTTCCTAATGCCGCGACCCTTTAATGTTCCTCATGTGGTGGTGACCCCCAACCATAAAATTATTTTCGTTGCTACTTCATAACTGTAATTTTGCTACTGTTATGAATCATAATGTAAATATCTGATATGCAGGATATATTTAGGCGACCCCTGTGAAAGGGTCGTTCGACCCCCAAAGGGGTCGTTACCCACAGGTTGAGAACCGATGCTGTAGGTGGTTACTTGCAAGTGCTGTGGACAAGTGTGCAGCCACAGCACCTGTGCATAAAGGGAGAGAATATGTCCTTTCTTTGAGGAACAAGTGCTGGGAATCCCACAGCTGGTGTTGGTTACTTGCAAGTGCTATGGACAAGTGTGCAGCCACAGCACCTGTGCATGAAGGGAGAGAATATGTTCTTTCCTTTGAGGAACAAGTGCTGGGAATCCCACAGCTGGTGTCTGAGACACTTGCCACTGGGAGCAAAAGGACACTTTTAAAAAAGTGAGACTATTATGCTAAGCAAAGTGTATCATTCAGTAAAAGCTAAAAACCATATCCTTTCACTCAGATGTGGAATATAAAACTGGAACTCATAGACAGACCACAGTATGGTGGTTACCAGAGGGAAGGGGGTAGAAGGGTAGTAAAGGATAAGGATAAAGGATATATGGTGATGGCAGCTGATTTGACTTTGGGTGGTGGGCACACAATGCAATATACAATTCAAGTATCATCGAAATGTATACTTGAAACCTATTAACCAATGTCACTCCAATAAATTTAATAAAGTATGAGGACATTTAGCGTGAAATGTCACAATTCTGAAATGAAGTCCTTTTGTGCATAACTAGGAGCAGGAGGAACATACAACTATGATTAAAATAAAGCTCTTGTTTTGTATCCTGTTATAGGTCTTTATTTTTATTTCAAAAATGTATTTCTCTTCCAATGACCACTACAGGTGAATCTTTTAATGTTTAGAAAAATGTGTGGTTTATAGGTTATTTTCTATCTTTCAATTCATTGAAAATTTATTGAATTTATAGCTGTGGTAAAATATTGTGCTGAGTTTTGAGGGACTGGAAAGACAGAAGAGACCTAATTTCTTACCTCAATGAATATATAAGTATCCTAAAAGGATTTAAATGGAGTATTTTTCAGACAATATCACAGTTTGTGTTCAGAAGCCTGAGTAATATTATTAATATAATTTTAAGTACCTTGTCATTACTTTTTAAATAACTTCGGACTAATTGGTTTTAGCAGCACAAGTAAATAACATTAACTTGACTATCAAACAATGTATTTCTGTTCAAAGAAAATAACATAAACCTTTATATCTTGTAATTAAAGGATTGTTTCCGGTATTAAAAAACAGACATTGAGCTATGATAGGAAGCAATAAAATAATAAATGTATATGAGTTTTCTCTTAATTATAATAAATTGTATTATTGACAGAGAAATTGAGTCATCTAATATTTTCTCTCTACTTAATAAAAATGTAATAAAATACTAAATAAAAATGAGTAAATATGTACAAAGTGCACATAAAGTCTATTTGTTTCCACATTTTCATAATAAATATCCCATAAGGCATTACACTTAAAATTAAACTTCAGGAAAGTAAACACAACACAATTGAAGAAAACATCAGGGGTCTGAAAGCAAAAGGAAGTAAAATGTTACCTAGTAGCAACAACTTTACAGTTCTTGCATCTCGCTCAGCATCTTCCTGAAGCTTTTTCTCCAGTTCTTTTGACCTTTTGGCTGACTCCTTACTCTCTGAACTAATACCGCTTCCCATCACGTCAGATTATTTGCTCAAACTTTTCCAGATGTAGAGCACAACTCTGGTTGGAATGTAGGTTGCAAGAGCAGTTCTCTGCTAAAGTACCCAACAGACCATTCCCTCATGCTCAAAGATTCTACTTTGACTAAGGAGATGCTTTCTGAGCTGTCACCTGATCTAAGGGTGTCACCCGATCAAATTAAATGGCTATTTCTGGTTCATCTTTAAAAATCTGTCCATCTTCCTTAACCAATGGCATATGAATATGTAAAAAGTTGTCAAAATCTATATACTGAAGATAATATGCAATGAGCATTTCAAACAAAATATCTCACCCTAATAGGCCATCTTTATTACTGTGATTTTAAGTTCTGATAACTAAACAACAAGCTTGCATCTTATCTTTAGATATTTGAGTCTCCAGATTCTTCATAATTAATTTAATATTACTATCAGAATATTTATATTCAATCATCCAAATTTCTAGTCTCATTGTGATTAGATTATGATACAACATTATTGAGAATCTCAGTATCTGTCGATTAACTAGAAAACAACTTCAAAAGATAAAAAAGTTGTAGTTCTTATAGTTATACATATTATTGTACTGTCACATAGAATTCAACACACAGTGCTCTTAAATTATTGATTTTAGTCTCACAGGATGCATTTCCATAAATTGAGCTTTTACTGCTCCTGAGAAAGTCAATCCATCAACTTTAATTGAGGACCCACTTGGTGTTGACACTGAACTGTGTTCAATTTCGGTAGTGCACTGACTCTTTGGGGCCATTAAGCAACAGCTGTTGTTCTGGAAGGACTTTTATTGATTTGGTATAAAGGGAATACAAAAGCAATGTTCTTTGAAACAGTAGATAATTTGATTCTTCCTGAAAAAGAAGAGTAAATACATCTAAATATGTTCCATGCCTTTCAACTACCATCATAGGTACCATGTACTTCTTGAAGACCTACAAGCTTGGGGACAGAGATTATGCTGTATAATTTTTTTTTTGTTTATTTGAAGCATAAAGTTCTTGTTAGGTATTCAATCAATATTTTCCTTAGAAACAGACATGGCTACCTGTGCCAGCAAATTATTCAATGTACATTTTGGGATCTGTGAATGTGCCTAACCAGAAAATGCTAGAATATAGTTAGTCCATCAACGTGTCAGTGCTGTTCTTCTTGTGGATCATGTACAAAGTTTGAACAGGTGGGTTTTTGCATATTCATACAAGAAGGAAATAGGCTGCCAAATTAAATACATATTCCTGCTTTGTTTACTTTTTCACAAAAAATATTAAGTTGCAGATACATAAGCATAGTCAAAACTTGCTGAAGTTTATCCCTACAAAGCCATGTTATGATAGTACAAAGCTGTGGAAAGGTCGGTATGCAAGGATTTGTGTAAATCATGTAGCATTGCTTTTACAATGCAAAGGGCCTGCTCCTAAGGAACATGATTTGCACTGACTAGTTTATTTATACTCACTCATGGACAGAGTTTACTCTGATAGGAACATAGAAGAACACAAACATTGTAATAAATCTCTTTCGCCTATTGTTCTTATATCAAGATTGAATACACATAATACCCTGAGTACACAAGATTCTTGGATGTTCCATAGCAATTATGAACTGTCTAGATACTTCCTATAATTTTATTTCAAATAAATATACCCCATAGCTTTTTGATGGGGACATACCCTGGTTTTGAAAGGGTATGGGTTTCACTAAGTCTTCTAAGAGAGTTACTGGCTAAAACTGACCAACTTTTTCAGGAGTAGAACTGTATGTTTTCTTCATCATATAAAATTATGAATTTCCACTTTTCGGTGTATCCCAGAATCTTTCATCATTAACATTATGTGATTATGATGTGATTTTTTTCATCAGTGACTAAAAATTCTTGACAAAAATATCAAGATGCGTCTATATTTAGGGGAGGGAGTTTGGGTGAACCAGAGAGGAAAGGAAGGTTCTTTCCTCAGCCCTCTCCCCCTGGGTGCCTGGGACACAGCTTCACTAATAAGCTGGAGTTTTTAGTCCATGTTGCTTCACTTAGGATTACAGCTTTCTGGAATTAAGAAAATGAGGAAAGTAAAATAATAAATTCCACAAGAGTGGTGACAATATCTTATTAACTTGGATGTCCTCCAGATTATTTTGCACAGTGCTAGCCATTGGAAATGTTAAAAAAATGATTTCTTGCTAATCATTGATAGAGACTTAGGGTCTCTTTTTCTTGTTGTGCTATGCTGAGGTGACAGTACAGTTAGGGATTCTTCCCAAGGTTCAATGCCATAATTGGTCTCTTGCAATACCCTAGAAATTTTAGAGTTATTTAAAAAATTCAGTGAAGATGTCCTATGTTAGTCTGAAATAATGTCAATAAATACAATTACAACTGTTAGCCCAACATTTACACTTTTTTTATCAGCCTTAAAAATAACACCAGCACATTCCCTTTCTATCTTTAAATCTTGTTCCATAATGAGGAAAATCTGATAGAAGATGACAATAGGAAATTAGATGCTTTTTATTCAGGGAAACATATGGCCATAAATTTTATTTTAGAAGATACGCAACTATCACAGACACTGTCATGTTAGAGTTCCATATATTAACCAGCTAAAAGAGATAGATTGCCCTGTGTGCATACATGTGCTCCCACACAACCTTGGATGCACAACCCATGCACACACCCACAGAAAGCAGGAGACATTATGTTGGAACATTGTGATTTTTTTAGAATAATTATTGAAAATGACTTCTAAGAACCTTGTTGGGTTTTCTTTTTAAAATCACAGCATCACCTGATTTGGAATATCTTCTTTTGGTACCAGGCTGTGCAAGAAAGAAAAGTGGACTTAAAGTAAAATACAGAGAATGAGCCCTCAGCGCTAAAGGTCACTGAAAACCCACAAGCCTGGTGGCATGAGTAATACATCCTCTTGCTATTTTGGGTCAAGGTCTCTGTGGAACCTTCAGAAGAAGACACTAGCTTTTGAAAACGTTGAGTAATCACTATTTTAAATGTATTACTCAATAGCTAGCTTGCAGTGACATGCAATTATTTCTCATCTGCTTTTAATATGGAGATTTTAACCTATGCTTTTGCAGATGTCTCTTTTGTTGGTATTACCTGGGCTTCTGCAGTTATCAAACTGGATTTCCCCTGAGCAAGTGACATGTGACTACAAAGGCTCAATTTCCTTCTGGAAATTATCAATACAGGCTGCTATCTGTATTTGTTTTTATTTTGTTTTCATATCTTATAGGAATTGTTTACTTCAAGTATTGGGTCCCTGGGTAGTTTGAGTCCTAGCTGCCTTAGCGATGACTTTTATCCTTGCATATTCCCATGGAATTTGCGGCAAACCCTCTCTCCTTTGCTAATGGTACTCAGATGTGCACTTCTGGGAGCTCTGTGCATGGTATCTCCTCCAGATAGTTCATGTCTTGGGGGACTTCTGAGAGAAGTCTTTTGATCTGGAGGGAATAGGGCAATCAAAACTTGCCGTTTCAAATTAGCACATTCAGATAGTGCAATAAGTTTACAATGCCAATATTAAGCCGCTCTTATGTCTTAAGAGGTGATACAAGTGTGTATTTTTATTCATTGTAGTTGAGTATTTCCACCTTACTTATGCCATATACTCTTCTTTATGGATTAGGATGTGATTATATATAATGATTTTTGGAAATAAAAAATGTTATAAGCCTAACTGACAAAGAAGATGAGAGTCAGAATTATTTCCCAAGGGGCCTCTTCTTGTCCCAAACTCTGACTCTTTCAAGATTTTTCATATGTGCCTTTAATACAGCATTTCCACTACATGTTCCCTGAATCTTATTTCTCAGTAATCTCAGTCCTGATGATTGCAACCACCACCTATTTTGGTTTCATGATTCTGGTCTCTGCCCTATCCCAGTCTAACCTGTATGTGCCAGGTTAAATTCTCTAAAGCCCAAGTTTTATTATTATACTTTTCTTATTGAAAAAAGACACACACAAAGAACTCCTTATTTTTTACTGACACCTATCTTAGTCCTGCCATTATACTCTCATTAATCTAGTTAGCAGAACCCAACAATGCAAATATATTTCCGGGTACTTTTCCTAACACATTCTCTAGTTTAGCTCCACTATTATCTGTTTCCTAATTAGGTGTCCCAATTTACCTTTCACTCGTGCTTTTATTTTCTTCACTAAGAATATCTTGTTCTTCCATAGCTGACTTTTCTCATAGTACCCATTCTTTAAGAAAGAACCTAAGGTATATGTTCTCCATTGTGCTTCACATCTACTGACACCCATTGGGTGATTCTTTACTTTCCAAATTCCTAAGAGGAATGTTCTGTCAGTGAATTTGTCCTTCCTCGTTAAATGGTCAGGATACTTTTCAGTAATTGTGCTCTCTGGTTCTTCTCTTCTGTGTACCTGAGAGTACACAGAAGAAAATAGTGTTTACTGAAATAATTAGTGAATAATGAGTGATCAATGAATATATGATGTTTGACAGCATTTTGCTCCTCCTTGGAAATATATAATTCTGCTTCCCAAATTATTGCAAGTGTGAAATATTACTTCTAGAGCTGCATGAATTCACTTATTCAACAATTGATATATTCAACAATTGTTATGTAGCAGGCATTGAAGATTCATCGGTAAATAAAACAGTCAGATATCTTTTCTCAAATACTTAAATTCTATAGTGTGTGAGTATGTACAGGGTTCACACAGACAATAAACATGATCAATATTTAAAGTTCATATAATTTAGATGGTGATGTTAAGAAAAAACAAAAACAGAATGGGCATAGAGAGTATGGGGTGGTGGAGAGCATAAGAGATTACAATTTTATATAATACTAGAGGGCCGGTGTATGAAATTCATGCAGGGGTAGGGCCCCTAGGCCTGGCTATAGTTCAGGGCCAATCGGGGCCTTCCTTCCCCCTGCTGCCAGCCGCCAGCCAGGGCCTTCCTTTGTCCCATGCTGCTCCCTGGTGGTCAGCACACACCATAGCGAACGGTTGAACTCCTGGTTGGTCGAACTCCTGAAGGGATAATTTGCA